ACAACTCTCCGTAGAGAATGGACATTGGAGTACCAAATTTTGTGAGGACTTTGTGGGTCTCTACTAGCTCTCATAAAATAAAAATAATCCAAAATAGTAAGGTTGAATGCACAAAAAAAGTCTTCCTTCTTTACTATTTCCAATAAATATTATTTTTAGTGATCACATTGGTTTACTTTTGGCAATTATTGTTCATCTTAACCTATTACTTTTACTCTTACATATGCTCATTGTATGAGGATAAAATATCTATTGAGTGCTATAGTCTTAGATACTTGGGAGAATGAGATCTGGAGGATCCTGGTTTATAACCAGCATGGGCAGAAAAGTCATTAAGAGACTGTCTCCAAGACAACGAGCACAAACCAAGCTGGGAACGTGGCTGTAAATGATCAAATACCAGTTACACAAGCAAGTGATGCAGTGTGAGGACGTGAGTTCAAACCCTAGAACCACCATAGTCTTAGAAAGAAGAGTTGAATTTATCTAGCTTTTGACACTGGCAGTATCTTAGTTCCTTGATGGTAGAAGAGATTCACTATGTCAAAATTCTGCCATCCACATCACTAAACTCTTTCAATACAGCAGTGAAACATTCTGTTCTGATTGTCTGTAGCTTGTGTATTCATTCTTCCTGACATAATAACTGAGAGGTCTAGAATGAAAATGATGATGAGAACAACTGTCTCAGCTGCTGATGAGAGACCTCTAATAAGAAACTTTAATCTGTAGCCAAAAGTTCTTGAAACCCTATGAGATAACAAGTTTGTAGGCAAAATCTGCTGCTACAGTATTAATTCAATCAACATCATTCAGTCATGTCAGATACACATGAGCTGTGATGCCTCAGGCCATAATGAAATGCACATAGAGAATCTGCATTAATTGGACTGCAATAAGAAAGGGGGGAAGGGGTAGCTGGAGAATTGTCCTGGTATTGTCTGTAGGCTGAGTAAGGCATGGCTGGGACATCCAGACCTATAGACATGGGTACATGCTTACTACAAATATCATTATTTAAAGAATATACCCCACTCTACTTATGTACATATATTTGTTACAACTTTGAAAAAACATTGATTTTAAGGATAGACAGTCTTGAATGTAATAGACTGAGCTCATGCATGGAAACCTGATTATTGAGGAGGCTGAGATCGGAGAATCATCCTTGGAAGTTATCCCAAGGAAAAAATCATGAGACTCTTGTCTCCAGTTAACCAGCAAAAAGCCAGAATGAAAAAGACAGCAGCATTGAGTGAAAAAGGCAAGCAAAAGTTTGAGGCCCAGAATTGGAACACCAGTATTGATGTGTGCACGCGCACACAAGCACACATAAACACACACACACACACACACACACACACACACACACGAGATACATATACATGAAAGAGATAGGTATTTAAGTCACTGTGTCTATAGTTATTTTTATGCAAGATATTCTGAAAACAGTGTTAACAAAGGAAAAAAAGTAGAGATGTTATTAGTTTATAAAAAATAAATATAATTTTAAATATTTACATAACATGAAAAATTTGCTTTGGATCTGAAGTAAATAGGTCAATATCTAGTTATCACTTACTATGGAAACAAAATTATATATATATATATAATGACTATTATATGTAACAATTATTACTATATATAAAATAGTATACATAGTATGTATAATATATATATAATGTATTATATATATATATATATACACACACGTGTGTGTGTGTGTGTGTGTGTGTAGTACTAAATGCAAATCCAGGGTAAAACTCATAGTGAAACATAATAGACTACATAGTAGACTAACATAATAGACTAATATTCTACAACTGAGCAACATTCCCTAGCCACAAGGCATAATCTTAATAATAAAAAGGAAATTTTTATCAAATCTATAGTTTTTCTTTTTGCCAAAGTGATATAAACTCTGAACAAGCTCTTACCTACTGATATATGCACATTCTTAAAATCTTAGATTGCTAGCAAATTTAGAGAAACTTTGCTCTCTGTTTACTCTAACTTATATGGTAATAGTAGTAATTATAAAAGTAGCAAGATGGATTTCAGCATATTGACCACTGGAACTTACTCCAGTTATACAAAGAATATTGTCTCCTGTTCCTTTTCTTTACCAAGCATCTTTTTTCCCATTTGAATTGTCATATGTTTCACTCATTAATTTCTGTAGTCATGTTTGTTTGCCATTGAAATAATATACGATTTCATATACCTTGGTCAAATAAAATTTTTGTCTTAACTCTTATTGGTCAGACTCTACTAGGCACCAATAAAACCTTTTTGAGTGAAATAACCCAAGAGATATAAGACCAGTGGTCTGTGTATGTCTGAGAATTCCTTTTAACTCATAATCTCATCGAGAACAAAGCCAGAAAACTTTCTTACCAATGTATATTTGTAGAAAAACAGGTTGACTATTCAGTCTTACTCCTGTAAGAGAGACAATTCTTATCTGCTCAATTAAAGATAGGTAAAAGATTTCCAATTAGTATATTTTATCAGTTTCCTTAGTTTAAAATTTGCATTTTTCTACATTTGCTCTATGACAGAAAAAACAAAATGAAATAAAAAGCTAACATTACAAAGGAACTTTAGGTTAATTGCTTTATTACTACCTTAATAGACCAGCTGGCTGAGGGGAAGACATAGAATAATGTTGGTAACAATAAAAACAACATTTATATAATCATTGCTATATCCAAATCAATATTTTAAGGACTTTGCATACATTCAAATAACCCTCAAAGAAACAAGAATCATTTTAAAATAAAAAAAAATGGGAGAAGAGAAAGTGTAAGTAACCTACTCAGGTAATCAGATAGACAGTAAGAAAGAATGTGACCCCAGAATTTATTATTTCAATTCATGACTTAAAATTATGATATTAATTACTTAATCATATGCATTTTAGTTTCTAAAAAGAAAGTAAATTAACTGGAAAATAAATTTTCCAAACTATGTTTCTTTAAATTCCATTGCATTCTTACTATCATTTGTTTATACTATTTTTAGTTGCAGTTGGTCACCAATAAAATGATAGAAAATATGTTGAGCAAGCATAATATAGGTGTATGATTTTTAAAATACTGATATAGTAATGGCAACAGCAACAACAAAACTGTCCAAGATGTATGCTGAATGCTTTACAAGTAGTGAAATTTAAGATCACTAAGTGACTGAGTTATTTATCCAATGTCTGGAATAAAATTGCTATACAGACTGTTACTGCATTACTTATGTAAAATAAAGTCTCAAGTGAAATGCCATGAAACAAGTTGCAAAAATAAGGTCATCTCTATTGAGGGCTTTCTGTGCTGAATTAGATTTCAAATATAATACATTTTTTGAAAACAAATGAACAAAATAAAACTCAGCTATATGTGATGATAAATAGAAAAGTGAAGAGTAAACAGCTATCATTCCCATTATTCCAGAACATCCAAATGCTTAGTACAATTATGTATCAATAGAGTAAAGACAAAGTTAAAGCTTTTCTATTCTTAGGTACAATTAACCTGTGAGAATCCCTTATATTAGATGGTAATAAGGCAGATAGCTTAGTGAAATTGAGAACATATCTGATTTACTATAATGGGATTTTTCAGTTAAATCATATCAGACTTTATATTAGTCATCCTGAGTCAGGGCACATGTTGATTAGGAGAAAGGGTCAGGAAAGATTTGTTGTTGTTATTCTTTAATTTCTGAGTCAGATAAGGCACAATCAGAGTATAAAATAATAACAGGATCTTCTACACCTGTGTATGAAGGGATGTGAAGTCAATTTTCCAGTGTGTGAATATACAGCTCTCTCTAAACAACTACTACTTATTGCTTTGTAGTATTTTTCAGTTTTTTACCTCCTTGAGTTTGAAAGAACAAAAGGATTTCTCAGAATTTTTTTTCATTCAATAGAAGAATGCAACTATCTGTTACTGTTGGCAGTTTGTGGTGTGGTTTACAAAATGGTAAAAGTCAAGGACAGATTGTGACAGGTATTTACCATAGTCACAGATTGATTTTGAGCAACTCTTCACTGGTGATATGATTGAATTTTTTAAAATGCCAATTTGGCTGCTTCTGAAACAATAGACTATATAAGCTGATGCCTTCACTTTGAAGTGTTGTAATTTCCCTTTCATAAAATGGGAGGTTTGGATAGTGTTAGTAATACTCTTTGATTGATTATTTCTTGCTTCTTATAGAAGACTGTAATAGGGTCTTTTATGATAAGTCTAAACTGTATGGAGATTATTTGAGATTCACTGTTGATATAATGCTATGATGAAAGCCTGTTCTAGGCTTTCAACTATGTGCTTCTCTTCATAAGAGGGCATTCAATTATTCTGATTGCACATGTTACATATTACAAATTAAATATGCTTCATAATTCCAACTTTGAACAGTGCATATTAGAGTAACCTTCACTAATAAGTATGCTTTCATACTTCTATCATTTATATTTTCCTATTTTTCAGCAGATTGTTTTCCAAATTATAACAGCAAAAGTTCAGTTAAAATACCATCCTGACTAATTTGACTATACCATGTACAATAATCACAAATGCATGTGAAGAGAGGGGCTCGTTATTCACATAAAATTGAAATACATTTTCCAGAATGTATTTCAAGCAGTGATATTTGAAGATATATCACTTTAAATAATTTATGTATCAGTTTATCATGTGTGTGTATGTGTGTTATTAGGAATTGAACTAAGTATTTCATACATTCTAGATAAGAACTCTGCCACTTGAGCTATATTGAGAACCTCTTTATTTTTTTATTTGTTTTTGCTAGAATATCACCAGCTTTACCTAGGCTGGCTTTGAACTATTAATTTCTTCCTTTCTCCACATCCTGTGTAGCTGGACTAACAGGCCTATACCACCAAAAACTCAGTTCGTAGCATTTGAATTAAAGCTTTTCTTCAATAAAACAATAGTATGGGCACTTACATTATAATTATATATACATATTTTTTACAGATTTGGATAATGTAGAAGGCATTGCAGTGGACTGGATTGGAAATAATCTTTACTGGACAAACGATGGCCATAGGAAAACCATTAATGTGGCCAGATTGGAAAAGGCGTCTCAGAGTCGGAAGACACTTTTAGAGGGAGAAATGTCTCATCCCAGAGGAATTGTGGTGGATCCAGCTAATGGGTATGTAATAGTATATCAGCTGAATATAAAGAAATATTAGAAACAATGTTTTATATGTTTAGAAGTAGTTAAACTAACTCATATCAGTGAACTTGCACATGAATAGTCTAACTGGCAAAAATTACTCATTTAATGATTCCTTCTCCTAGAATATATACTAAGTAAATGTGACAAAATATATTGAATTGAAATAATTTTTTGTGTAGAAGGTATTTTATATTCTATATTTAGACAAGAGCTACAGTTATTTAGACAGTCTGTCACCAAAACAAGTGATTGCATGAAAGTATCCATTGATTGTATTTTCAAGCTATTGAAATCTGATATATTTAAATAATAGTTTTTTGTGTATATTTACTGTAGTAAATTACATTCTATTTAGTTGTTTTTCTGATCCACCTCTATCACTACTTTTTTAATTTTAATTTTTATTTTTTGTGAACATACTGTATAGAGGGGTTACAATTACATGGGCAAAATAATGAGTACATTTCTTATCAAGCATTGCAGTCTCCTCCTTTGTCTACCCTTCACATCCCTTCCCAGCCTTCCCCCGGCTCCCCCACAACCAAAGTTGTAAAGTTCGTTTTTGAGATGACAACTTGTACTTCTCATAGTTGCATTGGGTACACCTGTATCCTTAAACGACTTGTTTTTCCCCATTTCCTCCACAAATTATACCGACATCAAATATAGTGAAAGCAGGGGTTATACTGTGGGGGAGGGACATACAAAGCTACAAAGAAATAATCTTATAAATGAGTTAGAAACAAATGCATGAAAGAAAAAAAACATTTAATTACTTATCTAAGGGTTCATTTTTCCTAACATAACATTATCTGACCTTTCCTGCTTGACTCACACATATACTAAATATTTTTTTTAATTTAATTTAATTTTATTTGTGAACATATTTGTGTACAGAGGAGTTACAATTACATGGGCAGGATAATGCGTACATTTCTTACCAAGCATTGCAGCCTCCTCCTTTGTTTACCCTTCACATCCCTTCCCAGACATATACTAAATATTGCAAATAAGGGAAAACTTTGTTTCTTTGGGCTTGGCTTACTTCACTTAATATAAATTTTCCCAAGCTTTTCCATTTCTTAACAAATGGGGAAATGTCATTCTTTCTGATGGAGGCAAAGAATTCCATTGTGTATATATATCACATTTTCTTGATCCATTCATCTACTGAGGGGCATCTGGGTTGGTTCCAGATCTTAGCTATGGTAAATAATGTTGCAATAAACATAGTTGTGCTGGTAGCTTTAGTGTGGTCTTGTTTGTAAACATTTGGGTAAATGCCCAAAAGTGGGATTGCTGGGTCATAGGGGAGCTCTATGTAAAGTCTTTTCAGAAACCTCCATACTGCTTTCCAAAGTGGTTGAAGGGTCTCATATCTAAAATATACTTGGAGCTCAAAAAATTAAATCCCCCAACAACAAATCCTCAAAGAAACAACTGCCCAATAAGTAAGTGGGTTAAAGACTTGAAAAGAAACTTCTCTGAAGAAGAAAGAAGGATGGCCAACAGACACATGAAGAAATGCTCAACCTCCCTAGCCATAAAAGAAATGCACATCAAAACAACATTGAGATACCACCTCACCCCAGCTAGAATGGCTATAATCAAGAACTCAACAACAGATACTGGAGGGGATGTGGACAGAAGGGAATCTATCACTATTTTTTTAAATGACAAATCATTGGTCTAAAACACACCATTTAATGATAAGGAAGTAGGTATTTAAACTCAAGCATTCTGTCACCTAGACTACTGTTAGCCAATTTACTCCTTGGTTTTTATGAGTCTACAATGGTAAGCAGTTTCCATATAAGGCACTCTCTTATGGTATGTGCTGCTTATGTAGGATAAAACATTATGTAGAATTCTTGTTAATATAATTTTCTTTATTTTTTTTAAATTCAAAGCTGGTACCTAAAACTAAAACTGGTACCTAAAAATAAAATTCTAACAAATTCAAATTAAATAAATGGATTCTTTGTGTTATGTGTATTGTTTGAGGGGCAGGGTGTTTCCTTCTACATGATGGACGGTACCAATCAGATCGATGTGAAGGGGGGTAACATCTAGAAATCTATCTGGGCAAAATTGATATTCTTTATACCTTAATATATGCATACAGAAATATTTAATTGAATGATAGGCATGCAAATGCTTTATAAATTGAAAAAACTGAAGCACAATTCCAACAATTAAGAGCTGAGAGTAGATTCAAGTACAACCATGGTGTTTCTTCATAGGCTGTATATCGACTCCTTGTGTGTGTTTCAATAAGGCATAATTATAATAAAGTATATGATATTATATTTGGATTATATATTTATCTATTTTATGCCTGGACTCTGAAACCAAGTCTTGTTTCTGATGTATACATCTGGAAACTTCAGCATTAGTAGAAAATATTTATTTCATATATCCAAGGTTATTTGAGGCAAGAAATGTTGAGTTTGTTTTATTTTTATTAATTTGTATTTATTTTTTATTGTGAAAATACTGTACAGAGGAGTTACAATTACATGGGCAAGATAATTAGTATATTTCTTATCAAGCATTGTAGACTACTCATTTGTTTACCCTTCCCATCCCTTCCCAGCCTCCCCCCGCCTCCCACCTAATCCCCTCCCCACCAAAGTTGTAAAGTTCATTTTCCACATGACAACTTGTACTTCTCATTTTTGCAACGGGTTCACCTGTATCCTTATATAAACAACTTGTTTTTCCCCTTCCCCTCCACAAATTATACCGACATCAAATACAGTGAAAGCACGGGTTATACTGTGGGGGAGGGACATACAAAGCAACAAAGAAATAATCTTATAAATGTGTTAGAAACAAATGCATGAAAGAAAAAAAAATAAATACATAGCATATGTATGTCTATGAATCTATATTTGCCTTTTGGGCTAGAAATAATGATTACCATACTGTTTCATAAACATATTTTTCCTAATACGATTCTGCTATTATGAACAAATCAACAACTGCAGGAATAAAATAACTCATATGTGTGTGTTAATGTGAATGAATATTATTAAATATTTTAATGCATATATAAATAATATACACACAAATATATATTTCCCTAGAAATATGCTGCACTAGCTATCGAGGAGGTTAACAATGCAAAACTAGCTTAATCTTAACAAAGCCCTTGTTGCTTATCTGGAAATAAAAGTTATATAATAAACTGATATGTAAAGTGATGAAGGATAACATCAGTTTGATATGATGAAGACTAAGAGTTATAACACTACCCAAATAAGTGTTCTGAGAAAGATTTTCAAAGAAATATGATTTAAGTTGAGAGTCAACATAAATTGGGACACCCTGGGAAGTTAGAGGTACTAAAATGAAGATGTTGGAGGTGGATTGTCGAAAACAAAGTAGAACAGTTATTGAAGATAAAGCTGATAAAGTTACTGAAGCGAAAGCCAGGCTCTGCAGTCATAATGAGAGCTATGTGTTTCCCCTATGTGTAGGATCAGATGGGAAAGTGATATAATTCAATGTTTATTTTAAAAGACAAATTTCCAGTTGAGAATAGATTGGAAAGTATAATTATGTGATTTTAATTGTTCAAATAATTATCAAATACATGTTTTATAATACGTTACATTAGTTGAGATAACTCCATGTAAACTAACCACTTATAAAGTGAAATATCTGTTTCTATATTTTCTACCATAGTATTTATTTGCAGCCATAAACAGCAGAGCACCAATGATTTACTATAGTACATCATCCTACTAACAATAATTGAACATTTCAGAGATATGCTTTGTCAAAGTTTATAATCAGTTATGAAATCAGTAAAATATTCATTCATTTATTACTTTACTAAAATATATGATTGAGTAACTGCCATATAATTCCATGGAAATACGGAGACAATAATTGTCCTCAAGGAAATTATAATATTCTTTGCCTGGTATGTACATAAACACACAGACACACAGACACACAGACACACAGACACACACACACACACACACACACACACACACACACAAACACAAATTACAAATGAAATACTGAGTTGGAGTATGAGAAGGAAAATCACAGAGATAGAAGAAATTTCCAGTGCTTGGTAAAATGTTTGGATTTATGTAGCTGACAGCATAATTGAAATGTTTTCAGGAGACAAAGCCACATTTTAATATTCACGATTTATGAAAACAGCATATAATAGTTTGCAACTTTACTTAGAGAAACACTGTAGATTTGAAAGATGCCCACTAGGAATTACTTTTGAATTATAGAATTGGTAATAGGAACAGAAATATGATTGTTTCAACAGAAAATATTGAAGGAAGAAGACTGTTAAAGTAGGCATAAAGCTGGAGAAGGAAATAAATCATAATGCAATTATTACTCAAGCTGATAACATTTTAACTCAAGATGATAACAGATGAGCTTATTCCTCCTAATAATTTCTCATGCCACAATTAATATACATAACACAAAACAACCTCTCTACTTGTGAGTACTAAAAAAATATGAGAATTCAAATTTTAGTGGGTAATTTCCACCCAAACAGGATTATTGTTTATTTATATTTCAATTAATAATACCATACCTAACTAGTTAGCAAGTATATTGTATGTCAATAAAGTATTCAGGAGGAGCAGTTTTATTTTCTGTTTGTAACTAGAAATGATTTAAATATTCTATAATGTAACTCAGTAATGTAATGCCATTTGGGAATATGATTAAATCTCAACTAAGCCAAACTTATTTCAAAGTACAAATATAAGTAGTAATTTCTTTACTTACTATTTTTTACTTTGAACCATGAAACATGCAATGGCACTCAATTTATGACACAGTACTATAAAAATAAAAAAATAAATTATGAAGAAGAGGAAAGAGCTGATTTTGATTCTTATCTTCAAAGACAGGTGATAGACTATATCTAGGACTCTTTATATCTCATCATACTGCTAAGTCAGTGTAGGGCCTTGACCAGGCCCACTGTCTGCTAAGTGTTCCACAACTGAGGTACTTCCCAGCCCAGAAAGTCTATTTGAATAGGCCCTGAAAGTAGAAGCCAGGTTTTTGTTACTATACTAATAGTAGATGTGACTAGCCACATTTTTATTTGGTAAATATCAAGTAACTCACATAAATTACTTATATTACTTCCTGATCATTTTACAGATATATTATTGTTTTATGTGTTTTAAAGTATAATCATATATCAAACTTTCACAGATAATTCATTGAGTAGATGTAAAATATATATATCTATTATTTTGTAGATTGAGATACCTAATTAAAAATTCCTTTTGAGGAAAATATTTAATTGAATGAAAATAATCTTAGGTAATGAAACAATTCACAATAACTATTTTTCTGAGCATCAAAATTCTAAACATTATCTTTTTTATATTTTTTTGTGAAAATACTGTACATGTACAATTACATGGGCAAGATAATGAGTACATTTCTTATCAAGCATATTTGGACTTATCCTTTGTGTCTGTGTGTTTGAGCACATTCATTGCACACCTACAGATGTGGTTTGGGTAGAGTTTCAGAAAGAAATGAGCCATGATCAAATAGGAATGCTGTGGGAAAATATTATTATAATTTCAATAAGTTAAAAATTATCAACATCAATAAAACCACATTAAATAAAGTTGTGTGATTATTTTGAGAATTTATTTATAAGGATGAAAAATAATATCCATTCTTAAATAGTTGAAGTGAATCTTGTACTATGATGGTACTACTTCACTTCTAATTATTCTCAATAATAACATTTCATCAAGAAAATAAATGAAGGACATAGCCAGGTGCCAGTGGCTCATGCTTGTTATCCTAGCTACTCCAGAAGCTGAGATCTGGGGATCATGGTTCAAAGCCAGCCAGGCAGAAAAGTCCCTATGAGAATCTATGTCCAATTCACCACTCAAAAAGCAGAACTCTGTGACTAAAGTGGTAAGAGCACTGGCCTTGAACATAAAGAGGCTCCGGGACAGTGCCCAGTCCCCGAGTTCAAGCCCCACATTCGACTGAAAGAAGGAAGGACAAAATACATATAGGTATGTTGTCATGTTTATTTCTAGCATTAATAAAAACCAACAGTATCGATATACTTTGTCAGGTCTCAAAAACCATGATAACGTAATTGTGAAGTGAATGAACTAAATTTGTATTAAATAATGGATGATATATTTTCAGTTTTTCCAAATCTGCCAAGTTTAGAACACTATAAGATTCTTCATTTTGGACAAAAATTTTACTACATTTACCTAAGAAATTCCATAGTATCCATAGAAGGTGAGAAGCAGGAGGTCTTCTAGGGTCAGTAGCTTAGTGAAGCTTTAAAGCTTAATAAACCTATGTTTGAAATGACTGACGTAGACCCTTATTTTAATTAATAATTCAAAAACTTTCACACGACTCCATAACATGTGGAAGTTTCTAACTGTATTCATGTGAGAATTGGAACATTAGCTCTAGGACCCCCTCTCCCATTGTTAGAGAAAACAAAAAAGATGTGTTTTTAATGGTAGATACTTTTGTTTGATGTAGAAATTAAAGCCCTAAATCTCAAGGTCAGTCAACTGCTGTTATTACACTTATGTGCAGATAAATCATCTTTTGTGGGTTTTGGTGATAATAATAAGCAGCAATAAAACATAGATAATTTGTACCAGGAAGACAAATTGAATCTGGCCAAACATTCCCAGTATGACTATGCCCTTTAGAACAAAGGCAATGTGAGTGTCATAAAAATAACAATTCATCTAAAATAAAATAAAGTCTAGAAGAGATTACTAACGGTACCATGGGTTCCTATGTCAGCTCCATCTGCTTTTAAATCACATAATTTATTCTATGTTTTGTGAAATAAAAAAAATCTTTAAAAGGAATGCCTTGAAAAATCTTTTCCCAGATAGTGTCACAATCCTAAAGTTACTATGTATTTGGCACTTAAATGGATGCACACAGCTACGAAGTGTGATAGTAGTGTAGTGGGTTTCCTGTAACAAGACTAAAGTGACAGGATCAGCTGAGTGACTCTACTTCCCCTTCCTTCATAGCTGCACTCTTGCTTCAACAGATAAGCATTTGGGTAAAGCAAATCAGAAAGTAATAGATTTTAGTGACATGTCTGAGGAAGTGTTTCTCCATATGGTGACTCATTAAACTAACCTGCATGTACTCTTGTTTTTAATGTGCTAGTTGGATGTATTGGACAGACTGGGAGGAAGATGAAATAGACGACAGCGTGGGAAGGATCGAGAAAGCTTGGATGGATGGCTTCAATCGTCAGATTTTTGTGACTTCAAAGATGCTGTGGCCAAATGGCTTAACTCTGGACTTTCAAACCAACACATTATACTGGTGTGATGCCTATTATGATCATATTGAAAAAGTGTTTTTGAATGGAACACACAGGAAGGTAAAGACAAATGGTCCTATTTTTAACTCCCACACTTCTTACAGAAAGCCTTGTTGTGTTGTGTTAAATTTACTTTCAAGTTTATTTTTATGCTCTGTGGGGTAGCTAGAAGGGGCTGAGCATTAAGTGTTGCAGCTGGCACTTGCCTCCTGGAGACCAGACTCTAAGCACTGTGGTATGCCAGGATTTGTGGGAGCTTTAAAAGGAGCTCTCAATATATCAAAGCCGGTTTTTAATTTTTTAATAAGATTTTTCTGCATTATTGATGACTTTTCTATGATCAAACTACTCAGCATTATTCAAATATCTTAAGTATTTACAGTTAAGATTTAATGTATGGGGGCTGGGAAGTTGGCTCAGTGGTAGAGTGCTTGCCTCACATGCATAAGGCCCTGGGTTCAATTCCTCGGCACCACATAAGCAGAAAAAAGCGGAAGTGGTGCTGTGGCTCAAGGGGTAGGACACTAGCCTTAAGCTGAAGAGCTAACAGACAGCACCCAGGCCCAGAGTTCAGCCTCCATGATCGACAAAAAAAAAAAAAGAAAATTTAATGTATCCATTATAAGGAAATAAGCATATTGTATTTATTTGAATAGAGAATTTAGTGACATTAAACTTGAAATATATAGAAGAAATGAACTGAACTTCACGATTATTAGGTTGAATGGAATAGATACCTATTTTTAAAACCTATTTTGGTAGAATCACTGTGAAATGATTATTATATGCATAGGTAAAATTTAAGATGATGTATTGAGTGTTAAGACAGAGGCATACTTAGCAAATATCACTCCTATGGTGTTTTGGGTTTTTGTTGTTGTTGTTTGTTTGTTTGTTTTTTTGGTCTGTCTTGAGGCTTGAACTCTGGGACTGGATGCTGTCCCTCAGCTCTTCAGCTCAAGTCTAGCACTCTACCACTTGAGCCACAGTGCCACTTCTGGTTTTCTGGTGCTTAATTGGTGATAAGAGTCTCACAGACTTTTTCTTGTGTGCACTGGTTTTGAACTGTGATCCTTAGATTTCAGCCTCCTGAGTAGCTAGGATTACAGGCATGAGCCATTGGTGCCTGGCCTAGGTTTTATCTTATAATCACTTCCCCACACACGTAACACATTTATTCTTTATTTTTTAAATATATTTTTATTATTATTATAAAGGTGATGTACAGAAAGGGTTACATATGTCTGCTAATGAGTCCATTTCTTTTTGAACAGTGTCACCTCTTCCCTCATTTTCTCCCAGTTTTTTTTTCTTTCAACCCTTCCGCACCATAAGTTTTATAGTTCATTTCAGCGTAGTGTCTAGTGACTATCACTGCTGCATTGGTTCATCCTTTGTCCCACTGTTTTCTATGTTCCCCCTTATCCTCCCTCAAACAGATAAACTTACATATAAGACAAAAGGTATAGAAATTAAAAAAAGTGATAAAGGAGAAAAAATTAAAACAATTAAACATGATAAATTATACAAGAATCTAAACTTTTAATAAGACCAAAGCATATGTTCTTAGGAAAGAAGCTCAACACCTACTTACATCAGTCATATAAAATGATGTTTATCAAAATGAACCCCATGAAATGAATGTAAACAAGAGGGCTTTTTGTTTTTGTTATTTTTTTTGTTTTTTAATTACCTCAACTTTTAGTTAAATAACAGCAACAGAATATTAAGAAATGGCCAAATGCTTCCTTGGATACTAATAATATGATTACTATAAAATGTTAGCATCTATTATATCTACTATATATAATTTGCACTAACAATTTATCACTATCCATCCATCTATCTATATTCTTAAGTGTAATACTAAATGTAAGAAGAAAATTCGACCTTATATTACATATACACTATTATTTTATAAATAATGAAAAGTGAAAAAGTAGTTTCATTTATTTACATTGCATAACCTTACACCTGTAACAAGAATTAAATGTTTGTTATATGCTTTCTCCAGTTAATCAACAGTAAAATATAAGTGGAACAAAAATAAGCATATTAAGACATTCAGAATTGAAAATTAGTGAGACTTTTCTATGTACTGTTAACAAAGGATTTATTTTCAATATTAAAATATTTCCTTTCTTGTCACTTCTTAGATTTTGTCAGTTTCCATTGACCTAATTAATGTAGATTAATCCTTTTCTTTCCATTGACATTGAGCTATTTTGTTTTACTAGGTCATTGGATAGAGAATGCTACACTATAAATAATAACACTGATTACTGAAGTCAACTTATATCTAAAAATTAGGCAAAATTATTTTTGTGTCATTTATGAAAATGTTTAAATGGATGCAATGTAGAAAGTCTACTTCAAATAATATACTCTATTTAGAAAAATATGCTCACATTGAGAACTCTAAAGTTACTAAAAGGCAATATGAGATCAGCTATTAATGAAATTGTTATCCTATATGCTTATAGCAAATACCACTTTCTCAAAAAATGTAGTTTTGACCCTAAAGTTCAAGTGTGATTTTTCATGATATGTTTATTGTTGCAGACTGTTTACAGTGGGAAAGAATTGAACCATCCTTTTGGATTGTCACATCATGGGAATTATGTTTTCTGGACTGATTATATGAATGGCTCCATTTTTCAACTAGATTTGACAACGAGTGAGGTGATATTACTGAGACATGAAAGGCCACCTCTCTTTGGACTTCAAATTTATGATCCACGAAAGCAACAAGGTATTAAAACCCAAATAAAAATTCAGCTGAGTTTTTCCATATAATCCTTCACAATAGCTACCCACAGGCTCTAGTTTGACAGTGTTGCAAGTTTTATGATAAAAAATGTCCATATTACTCCAAGGTCAATCAAACCTTAAGACTTTGTTGCCATAAGAACATATTTCTCATTGTTCTAAGTAGCCTGATTGGGAATTCTATCTGAGGCAATTTCAAGGATTTCCCCCAACTTTTCCTATTAAATGTCATTGTCAGTGAGAATGTGCACTTTGCTAATTAAAATAAAACCCCCTTTGTCATTAAAGGTAAGTGCTTTGAGCAGCAAATAAACATTTTAGATTGAAAAAGATGGTCTGAAAAATGCATTATGTAAGAAAAATTTTGTCAGTCGTGGGGCTTGAACTCTGGGCCTAGATGCTGCCCCTCACCTCTTCAGCTTAAAGTAAGCTCTCTACAACTAGACCCACAGTGCCACTTCTGGTTTTCTTCTGGATTATTGGAGAGGAGTCTCACAGACTTTCCTGCTCAAGCTGGCTTTGAATCGTGATCCTCAGATCTCAACCTCCTGAGTAGCTAGAATTATAGGCATGAGCCACCAGCGGCCGCTTAAAAGAAACTTTTATTTGTGCAAGCATATGAGTATATTTACCCGAAGAGCTTCTATGTATATTTATTTATTTATTTGCATATTTATTTATTTATAGTCACAGTTCAAAACCAGACAACGCAGAAAAATCTCATGAGACATTTTTTTTTCTTTTCTATGCCCTCTTCCCAGCTTCTATGTATATTTAAAGAATATGTAATTGCTGTATATGATTTGAAAGTGCAGCAATCTACTGTAATGTTTATGTCATGATAAAATTAGATAATATTGCCATGTGGCTCATAGTCATGAGTTATTAATATTTATTATGCTCCCACAATTAGAATGGTAATACATCAGATAATCAACAAAGAGAACAGTTTAATAAATATGTGGTTATATTTTTATAAATCTAAATAACTACTATTTCTTTTTATGATTATATCACTATAAAAATATAACCACTATAAATTTTAATGAATATGAAATGAGTATACCTTCAGGTTTTTTATTTCCTTTTGCATGGCTTCAAAAAGTTTGCAAGCTATTTTACCTTAAAGCAACTATTTTGCTTTAGAGCTTCAAACTTTTCCTAATATACGTAAATTGCTTCATTCAGTTATACTGTACTTATATAACATAACAGAAGTGGTTAAAATGACCAATATCATATTTCATTTTAGTAACTTTAGATTTCTGAATTTGAGCATATTTTTTTAAGTAGGACATATTATTTGAAGTAGACCTTCTACATTGCATCCATTTAAGTACTGAAATGGGATGAGTACATGAAAATTTAAATATAGTATTCTACTACACTACTTAAATAACAGAAGTACTTCGATATAAAATAAATTCAGACATTTAAATGTGGGCATGATTTTGTAACATATTTTTTTCATATTGATATTTCTCTTTTTAACTTTTGAACTTAAGATATTAATAAGTTTTAGAAATACATAATAAGTAGAGTATAAATTCTGACTACATAGATTTCTACCAGATTTTTCCCTCAAATATAGAAATTGAATGGATTTCTTAGTGGTATGAAAAATTATTTGTTCTTAAAATGGAATAAACTAGTTTTATATAGGTATTTAATATTTATTGTTCTTTTCTCCTTTTCTGATTTACAGAGAATATTGGCTATATGACTATTTGTATGAATATTTAAAGTGCATGACTGTATTTACTTATTTGTAGTATCAGTGAAGATAATAGATGTCAGATAAATATATTGTACAAAGGTAATATTCATGTATATACTTTCACTTATCACATGTCAAGAATCCTATAAACAATAAACAGAGATGCTAATAAGGAAATAACTGAGTACATTAAACCAGATACAGAAAAATCAGCCCTCAAAGTAGATATAGCTCACCGTTATGATCATCAAATTATGTTAATACATCAGTAAATTTCATGACTGCAAATGCATTCATTCAGAAATGAATTACAAAATATTTTTTAGGACTTAAGTTTCAAAGTTTTTTTCATAAAAATCTTTCATTACCAATAAAGTTAATAAGCATTTCTTCATTAACATTAGATATCTAGAATAATTTATATAATCTTATCTTGAAATTCCTCCTAAAAAGAAAAGCAATTATGTAGAATGCCACTTTTATATTTTTCATCTCTAGATTCAGAAGCATAGCTTAATGTCCCCACTGCTGTAGAGAATTAAATAATCAAAACTAATACTTTACAAAAGGTTGATGAATAATACCCTACATCTATTTGAAAGTACCGAGTTATTTTATCTCAAATAGAGGGCATTAGCTAATAATTAATTGCAATTATTATAACTACCAGGAAGTCAGTTAAGCATTCATATTTAACACTCACAAGAGATATTGAAGACAATTATGCCCTAAAGAAAACACATTTCAGTAAGCTTAAATTCTGAAAATTAAAGACAAGAAGCCCGTAAATCGTTTTCACCAATGGGCTGGCTCCATTTGAAGTCAATTCTGCTAAAATTGTTCCAGATTAAATGCATGATACAAGGAATACTGAAGCAATGGCATTACTTTATTCTAGATCATATGATCTGCCATTGGTTAGAAATAAACTTAATTGTCATCATTTAATTATATCTGGGCATGGTGTTTATACCTGTAATCCCAGCTACTCAAAAGTAGAGGTGAGAAAGAAAAATCACTTCAAGACTAATTCTGGGCAGAAAAAAGAAAGAAAATTTTGTGAGACCCTATCTCAACCAATAAAATGCTCTTTGGGTATCATGACACTCATCCCAGCCTTGCAGAAAGTTTATGTAAAAGGATTATAGTTTAGAGTGGCTGGTACAAAAGCCAAATAAAAAAAAATAACAAAAAGGAGAAGTGGGGTAAGATATACAATGACTGCTAGTCAAATGAAAGGTCTTGTGTTCACTATCCTGTAGTTAAAAAAATCTGATATCTATAAACATCAAAATATTAATAAAGACTTTTGAAAAAAAGTCTTATTTTTTGTCTGTGGAAGTTAGGGTATGCTTCGAAATAATCTCCCTTGAAATGCAAGCTTATATATTTAATACACAGGTAGAATTATATAATCAAAGCCTCTTTATCTTTCAAAACTGAATTATATCAGTCCAGAGCTAGTACTGTGTCTGTACTCCAAATAACAGTTTCTGTCATTCAAGTTGTTGGCTAAAAGTTTCATTAATTAACTCATTCCCTTATTCTAACAATATTTATCACATATAATATATGCAAGGCATGGGAAGAAAAATTTTGGAAACGATAAGTTTATGAAGAAAAGATGATATTTGCAGCTCAGACACTCCACTTTCTTGAAGTTAGTCTTGAAGTGTGATTTTTTTTTCTCATCTATACTTTCTGAGTAGATAGGATTACAGGTGTGAACACCAGGCCCAGATATAATTAAATAATTGTGTATTCTATGTATCATGGCTATCTGTGTGTGTGTATATATATATATATATATATATATATATGCCTCTTCATTGTCATTTTTGTATAATTATATTTATATTTGAAAAATCATCTAATCATGAATGAGACATTTTATATGAAATACTTTGTAACCTGAGACAACCTCAAAAAATACCTTCACATGAGCTCAGTCTGCAATGCATATGTAATGACATTCAAAAATATTTTGGGGTGCTGTAAAATAAGAAAAAAGTACTTTGATTAGAGATATAGGATTATTCATATCAATACAGATTTAAAATTTTTATTATGACAATACAGATAATTATTCCTCTGTCAATATGTAGTATTAACAGAAAATCAATATGTTACAAAATTGAATATTAATAGCTTATTTCTAAATAATTATGTCATATTCACTGAGAATGTAAGTAGGAGTCATTCCACTGACACTTAATATAAATTTTCAATAATGAAATATAATCTTATGTATTTGATTTTGTAATTTCTTACTGCTTTATTTCTTCATATATGACTAAATATTTTAATTTAGTTAGAATTTTCAGACTCTGATACTAAAATATTGAGTATACCCTTACTGTTGTACAGCATAGGAAACATGCATAGCCTATGGAGTGTTACGATTTTATCCTATACTGATGCAATGAATTCAGTTTTAGCTGAAAGCTGCTTACAATTAGTCACTTGGTCATCTTTTGGGATTTTAATGCCAATATAATTTAGTGCAATTTAATGCCAATATAAATCTTAATAATTTTATTATCTTATTGTATATTTTATAAGTGATTAAATTTATTTATATTTAATATTTGAGTAAGATCTTTTGATATACAAATTGTATCTAGTGACATATGGAAAATTCAACATAAATCAGTTGACAATTACCATGTCAACTGAATTGTATGTATTGCAGATGTTTTTGAGTTTGGCACAAATATGCCAAAGTGTAATTTCTTTATTACCTCCCCAATCTGTAGAAATAAATGTTATAAAAATGTAATTGTCTAAATTTAACATATCCTTATTTATAGTTTTCAACTTTATAACTTACATATTATCTTTAAATAAGTGTACAAAAGTCAAAATCTTCAAAAATTTACTTCTTATGTGATAATTTCCCTTGGTAACTCACATATGCTCAGGAATCCCACCTTTGTGAATTTCCTCTCTTGATGACTTTACTGAAGTATGCAGTATGGCTATCAGTGCCTCTGCTCTTTAGATCCTTTGGGACAACACTTCTGACTCGTGTGATGTACCTTCTCTTGAAAAAGCAAAGCCGCATCTTTTAGTTTCCCTTGGTTCAGAGTCTTCAACCCACTGACATATCAGGATACTTAATCGAAAGGGAAGAATATCCCTGTTTTCAGCCCTTATTCCCTTTCTGTTCCCTGGGGAGGGAAAACCACATTCCAAGATCCAGAAGTTTATTTCCCAAAGAACTCAGACTTGAACACTCTGGGACTGATCTGAGAGACGGAGACAAATACAATTGTGTCTTCACTGTCCTATTTCCTGGTACCACGGTGCATACTTCCACAGAGACTTCGTTCTTCATCTAACATACAGATTCCTCTGATCAAAAAAGGATGTATTGGGCTGGGAAGGTGGCTCAGTGGTAGAGCGCTTGCCTTGCATGCATGAGGCCCTGGGTTCGATTCCTCAGCACCACATAAGCACAAAGAAAAAAGCTGGAAGTGGCGCTGTGGCTCAAGTGGTAGAACGCTAGCCTTGAACTGAAGAGCTGAGGGACAAGAGCCCGGGCCCAGAGTTCAGGCTCCATGACTGGACCCAAAAAAAAAAAAGAAAAGAAAGGATGTATTTTCATGTTTCTCAATTATGTGTCTTTTGATCTGGAAAATTGGTTACATTAGTGAATATTATATGTGTGTGTGGGTAAATATTTTTGCTTTCTATAACTTCTAGAAATAATGTAAATCTGAAACCAGGTATAAGGATACATTCTTGTAATTATAGCACTTGAGAGACTGAGACAAACTTGACCTCTCTAGAGACACTCTATGTGTGGGTGGGGCAGGGTAGAAGAGTGGAAACCTGACCTGGGAAGCAATGGTTAGGATTAGATTATTAGAATTATCTGATGAATTGGCTTCTCTCCTCTTGCAGGAGATAATATGTGCCGGGTGAACAACGGGGGCTGCAGTACACTTTGCCTGGCCATCCCATCAGGCCGAGTATGTGCATGTGCTGATAATCAACTTCTAGATGAAAATGGGACCACATGCACATGTAAGTTTCTTTTCTCATTATATTCATTGTTTATGTGGCTCTGCCTTAAACATACATGCAGATAAAATCAAAGAATTCGTTTTAAACTGAAATTAAGAGTTGCTTATATCTTGAGAGAATTTTTAACTGAATCCATTTCCAATAGGTGGCTACAAAATAAGAATGAAGGTTTGCAGAATATCCTGTCATAATGCATATACTTCAGTAAAGATTGAAATAAGCATATCCCACTGAAGCCAGTATTTCATAAGTGAACCTCACTAGCAGCTGTTACCACTGGAGGCATAGTTGTTGATTAGGTAACTGCTATGGTATACAATAGAAGTCTAAAATGACTGTTCTTGATTTTCCACATTTTGTGGTAAAGAACAAGGATAGAGGGAAAAAAATGAGATTTCTAAGGAACTTTTATAAAGTGGAAAATTAACTAGATTGATTGACCTGGATTAAAGACATTTTTATTAACTTTCACTGATGTTCTTTGGTTTATTACAAATTATTATTCCAAGGTGACTCTTTTGCAGTTTTTAGAACACAAATTAGATCCTTCAAGTACATTAACAGCAACAACATTATGCATATATTGAGCAATATATAACATTTTCTGGATGATTTAATCTTGATATGTATGTTAGTGTTCCTCAGAGATAGAACCAATAGGGACCAATAGGACATACCCATGTATACACATACATAGGTATACGTACATTACACATATATGTATTTATAAAACTGGGGCTGGAAAGGTGGCTCAGTAGTAGAGTGCTTGCCTTGCCTGCATGAGGCCCTGAGTACGATTTCTCAGGACCACATAAGCAGAAAAAAAAAGCCGGAAGTGGTGCTATGGCTTATGTGGTAGTGTGCTAGCCTTGAGCTGAAGAGCTAAGGGACAGCACCCAGGCCCAGAGTTCAGGCCCCACAACCAGACCCCCCAAAAATAGATATTATATATATATATATATACACACACACATTATATAATAGATATATAGAGATATTTTATCTATATATGTTTATATATGTGTGTATATATATGTTTGTGTGTGTGTGTATATATATATATATATATGTAAGTGTGGTGTTTGTGTGTGTAGACAGAGACTGATGGAGATTCAATCATAAGGAATTGGCTGATAGGACTAATCTTAGAATCTGCTGTTGGCAATTTAGAAATCTAGGAAAGGCTATCTCTATATTCCTTCTCAAGCATTTGTAACATGCCACTTATTCTAAATTCTATTGCTATTATTTTAAACTCCAGTTATTCAAGACTTTGATAAAATTGCTCAGTTCCAAACCTTCTTATAATCGATAATTTATGATCCAGAATATTGTCTGAATTATTAGATTCTTTAAAAAATGTTTTGAAGGCTGGGAACTGGTGGTTCTCCCTGTAATCCTAGCTACACAGGAAGCTGAGATCTGAGGATGGCCAAGCAGGAAAATCTGTGAGATGCTTATCTCCAATTAACCACCAGAAAACCAGAAGTGGTGCTGTGGTTCAAAGTGGTAAAGCACTAGACTTGAGCTGAAAAGCTCAGAGACAAGGCCCAAGCCCAGAGTTCAAGCCCCATAACTGACCAAAAAAAGAAAAAAAAACATTAAGAAACAAATGTGGGCTTAGTGGACATTCATGCTTGCATGTGAGGCCCTTTGTTTAACCCCTAGTAGTACGAATATATGTGTGTATGCATGTGTGTTCATGTGTTAATTTTTCCTCCCTATGTTATGTTATTTTAGTTCTAGATCAAACTTTCACTAATTGCATTTTTAGTACTAAAAAGTTTCTCTTAAAGGATTATTTCTACAGTTATTTATTTTGTAATGGCCTATAAAATGCTCTATGAAGAGTAATTTTCTTAGCATACTTTTTCTTAGTCACCATGTGATTTTTTTCTTTATTGTTCTAGTTCATTATTCTTTCATTTCTACATTGATATTACTTGGCAAAGATACCTCCATGAACAATGGTTTACCAACAGGGAGGTTCCACTTAAATTCTTCCAATTTATTTGTAAGGCTAAATTTTATCACAGTTATTTGGAAAAATATTATGGTTAATGTGTAAATTTGATAACTAATTTTAATTTCCTATCATTTAACAGTGTCTTATTATTTAATAGCATCCTATCACTTAATAGTATTCTATCATTTAATAGTATTTCACGGGACCTTTGCTAACCTAATTGAGCACATACACAAAGACACACAGAGACACACACGCTGTCTTGAATCCACCAGGGCTCTTTCTACTTTTGATCCACCCCTAATTTTTCTCTGACGAGCTGAAGGTAGAACAAAAAGCATCTTTTAATATTTTTATATATTCTTTTAATTTACCCTTTTATACGTACAGGTATTTCATCCATAACACAAGAGCCAGGAATATGTGTTCATGACCAAAGATGGATGGGCTAATTCATTTCCTTTCTTTAACTCAGAGGGTATCCTGAATGCATTCTTAAAGTTAGGAGTATTGGTCTTGAAAATAAATGAATGTTCATTGGTGATACTATCAAACTCTTAGAGGTCTTGTTGGTTCTCAGTTTTGTCCTTTGTCATTACTGGAAATTAATGGGAACATATATTAATCAAGTACTAATATCTGACAGTATGTAGAAAAATATAACATTAGAATATGAAAATTATAGAAAAAACATTAGAATACAAACATTGTAAACATAAGATCAGCAACTAGGGTAAGTAGAAAATAAATATTAGTTGGAAGAAGCCAGAATTAGACATATGGTTTAAATGGTAGAGTACCAGTTCTGAGGAAAAAATGTCAAGCAAGAGCTTACCACTCAACACACACACACAAACACACACACACACACACACACACCCACACACACACAATCGGAGAAGACAAGACAATGCAAAACAAATTATCATAAAGAATTTCAAGAAGTAAGATATTGCCATTATTTTCATCATTTCTGCAATGTATTATTCTAACTTATATGAATTTCCTGTTTCTATAGACTTTCTTATGTATTAGAAAAGAAGAGATTAGCTTAGAATCAGCCACTTGTCTGTTGAGAGTACAAGAGTTTGTTTTCTTGTCAGCACTTAAGGTAAACAAAGAAATACTCAAGACAGACCAAGGCTCTAGTCATTGTAGTTAGCCTATGGAAGTATAGAAGTTTGTTGCATCTATATATCTGGTCAGAGTGGACGCATACAGAGCCATGTTTTTCATACCATCAGCCATAGGTAATTGATTCTCCTCTTCTACAGTTAGACTCTTTAACTGATAAAAATTTTAACTTAAAATATGTCTTAACTGCTTACTTCATCCTTTCACATTTAGAGACTGTCTATTTGATTAATTGTGTTTCACACTTTTGTTATAGTGTTAAGCTACATTTATATATCATAGCAAGAAAGGACATACACAGATAATTTCTTGGGAAATGACATCTCACTTTCTCCAATGCCACAGATGGATTTTTAATATTGTTTTGCTCCAGCAGTGACTACCAGACTCTTTTCTTTTTGTCTTTGGCCTTTGATCAAGCACTCTGCCTTTTGTAGTTTTCTTCTTGCCATAACTGCCAAACAAAATTGAAACAAAACATGTTCTGTAGCTTCTTGGAAGCCAGAAACACAAATAACTTAACAAGAACTCTAGCTGAGTGTGCACTATGATAGCACTTGGAATGATTCAGATTGACAGGCTTAACTGCAGGGGAAGAAAACAACAGAAAGATAAGGAGTATTTATTTTTAAATAACCCAGACAATCACTAGATATCTCTGCATAAATAAAAAATAGGTCAGTTGACTTGCAAGGAAATATTATGCATAAAGTTGGCTACAAAGCTGATTTCAGGAGATTTATTGTCTTGTTTGTACACATACAATTATATACATGCTGGAAGTCATAGGACATTTTATAAAACACTTGTTCTCTTTCTAGTATATATAATTTATAGATAATAGAATTTCAATACAACAAAGGCAAAAGAATAGCAGCTTGTATATATTTTATTGAAAAATGTCAAATCAACCAATCCGAGAATCCTGTTTCACAGTTAGTCTTCCAGTTATCTGTTAAACTTGCACCCTGCTTTTAATAAAGAATACAATTTGCCTAGAGAGAGGAAAAAAATTTCAGGAGAAGTAGCATACTAAGTCATGTTTTGCAAAGAACACACGGTGCTTCTAAGTATGGTATTTGTTTCTATTCATTTAATAGTAATATGCTATAAGAATATAGATTCCAGATGAGAAATTTTCAGTGGTAGAGAACCATGGAAGGAATTCTTTCTTGCACAGTATAGTACAAAACCAAACTATAACCCTTTGCTAGTGGTGATTTCTCAGGGCTTCTGAATTTATGCAGGCTAGACTATTATCATGTGTATGGAGTAAATTGGATTAGCAATATAATCCAAGTCTCACAAGCAAAGGGATGAGAGACTTTGCTAAATTTAGACAGGATCTTCATGGTTTTAGTATTTATTGATATCAAATTAACAAAATTGACATCATATGAATGAAACCTATGAGCAGATGGTCAAGTCAGACTAAAAGCCAAGGAATTCTTTTTTTTTTTTTTCTCTTAATGATCTTGCAACTTAAAACTGTGCCAGGAAAACATGCACTCAACCTGAAAATGCTGGAATACTACAAATTTGATTAAGATGAATTCTAATGCCTTGATTGAAAGAGTGAAGGATATAAGTATATTGGACTATTATTGTGAATCCTGTCTGTCATAATCAAATCTTTCAAAACTAAAGTTGGTATCTGGAACAGAATGTTAACTTTGAATTTATGATCTCAGAAAAGCTTCTGTAAAGCTAATTGAGTAAATACCAAGTAAATTTTATCTTTTTTAATACCTTTATATAGAAAACCACAAACTAAAAAAAAATTTTTTTAATGAGGAAGGCTGGGATGGTTTCTCAGTTGTAGAGTGCTTGGCTTCCATTTATGAGGCCCTGGGTTCGATTCCTCAGCACCACATAAGCAGAAAAAGCTGGAAGTGGTGCTGTGGCTCACATGGTAGAGTGCTAACCTTGAACTGAAGAGCTGAGGGACAGTGCCCAGGCCGAAGTTCAAGATTTAAAAAAAAAATGAGGACATAAATGATCCTGAAGAAGTAAATTAAGCTTTATAAAGGTACAGCATGTATTTTTTTAAATGCTAGTAGTATTATTTCATTATAGAATAATGAAATAATAGTGTCCAAACACTTTATTTAGCTGCCTGAAAGTAAAGGAAAAAAAACTCACCTTTCCAACATGTGTTACTCACAGAAGAACAACTTGAGTAAAGCAAGAAGATTGGTTATCCAAAAGATAGCAGAGCAGAATTGTGTGTCTGTGGAACTCTGTGACCTTTATCACACTCTGATGCCCTAGATATATTCCTCTGGCTGAAATAGTGTTCCACAGTTGTGAGCCATTTATCTGCCCAGCTGTGACAAGCCCATGTTCTAGGATATATGAAATCTAATGTGTAGTAAAATGTTTCAGGCAGTAAAAAAGTTTAGAAGGTCTGCTCACATGAATATTTATGGTACTCTGTGCATAGAAAGCCAGAGAAGATGATGCACTGCATAAGTTCAGTGCTCAGAAGACCACTCTATCTAATGAAAGGCCATCTTGTTGTGACCTAAAGGAAAATAATATTTTCATAGGATCTTCTCAGGAAAGCAGGACTGAGTAAAAACATGCAATATGCCACAACTTCAAGTTTCTCTTTAGGTCCTTATGTCTTCCTGCTTAATACAAAGGCAGTAAGAAATTCTCTACTCCCAATATAAAACAAACAAATATGTCTTAATGTGAAACATGAAAGGGCAACAAAAATTTTGTTTTGTCTGTTATACTTGGACAAATGCTGTTTTGACTGAGTTACTATAATTTTGTTACATTGATGACAAATCATCAAATGAAGGAAGAGCCAGAGTTTAGTTTAGCATGGGAACTGAGTTTGAAAAAAGGAGCAAAATTAGAAGCACAGGCACATGTTCATTCATATGGTAGTTTTATAGACCTAAGTTGGATCGATATATTGATTTGGGTTACTAAACTGAGATCTAAACCGGAGATGATGTAAACTTTAAGTAGAGAAGAACAATTAGTGAAAAACAAACACAAAGAAAGAAAGAAAGAAAGAAAGAAAGAAAGAAAGAAAGAAAGAAAGAAAGAAAGGATGGAAGGAAGGAAGGAAAGAAAGAAAGGATGGAAGGAAGGAAGGAAAGAAGGAAGAAAGGAAGGAAGGAAGAAATTGCTCCTTTACATTATTATGGACCAGACATTAATCCTAACAAGAATTCTGCAAGTTTATACCAAAGGAAAGTAGCTAAATCTTTAATATGTATTTTCTTTTCTTCAAGGTTCAATTCTAAAGAAATCTTTGTAATTACTGCACTTGTGATCATACTGAAAGCAATTTAGGGATTTGTTCCAATATCTGAGGGCTGTACACATTTAGTCAGACAAAATATTGAAAAAAATGATATAGGAGCTTTGAGCATATAGTCACATTTTTTAGCATTACGAGATAACTCTCACAATGTTCTCTCTCATGCATGTTTTGTCTCTATCTCTCTCTGTCTCTGTCTGATTGTTTGCCTGTCTCCCTCCCCCTTCACCTCCACCCTTTGCTCCCTGCCAGTTCAAATATATCTGGTTCCCTCTTTCAGTCTTTACTACAGCAGAGAAAGCAAATTCACTGGCTCAGTCCATGGGAAGGTTCGGGAGGGAGGTATTTGTATTTTCTTGATAAATGTGTTACAACAGTTCTTTCCCACATGCAATCCAACATGTTCTTCTGTAGTATCTTAATATTTATTCCCAGTTTACTTATCTTTAAGATGCAGATAATAAAATTTTGTATAATACCTAAGGTAATAGTGATCAATTGAGATAATGAAAGGAATCTCCTTTAAAGCAAAACATTATATACATATACTAGTCTGTTGATTGGTAACTCCTTTGTACAACTCCTTAAAGATAAAATTAAGATACAATTTTTAAAAATGTTTTAAAAAGCAAAACTACAGATAAAATATAGTGGTATCTTATGGTTCTTTATTGTTATTTTGATGACAATTTCCCTAAAATAAATATTTGAGTCAATACAAAAATTACTATCAAAAACTTGTTAAAAATCTTATTTATGGAAATGACTGCCAGTACAATTTTCCTTTACTATTTATGACCATATATGGTCTTATTATATATAATATATATGTATTATGCATAAATATATAATATATGTACATATACATTATCTATAAGACCATTGTATTTTTATATATACATACATATGCATATATATATATATATATATATATATATATATATATATATAATGTTTTTTGAGGAGGTGAGAATCGAATTCAAGGCTTTGTACTTTCCAAGAAGCTCTCTTCCACTGAGATAAATCCCCAAATCTCTTAAAGTATCTTTGCTGTATATTTTATTAAGCTTTAGTTAACATTTTGAAAGCTACCTCATAATTATCATGTCCATTTTATGTATCCTAATGTCAGAGAATTTTAATTCAGAGAATAGTATTATTTTAATAGACTTTATAACATGAAGGAGTATTTAATGCATACTTGGATATATGTAGTGAGTTAGTTGCTATAACCTGGAAAATTAACATATTCATCATCTCTCTTAATTAATGTATTCATGATTTATCTTTGTTACCTTACTCTGTGTGTATGGTAAGTTAATTTAAATTAAATTTCTGCAAATTTTCAGCACATGTAAAATACAAATATTGTAGTGCTTTTGTCCTCTAATACATGCTTGCCTTATTTATCCTCTGTATCTGTGAATTTGTTTCCTTTGACCTAAACCTCCTTTTCTCCCTCTTTGCCCCAAAGTTGTAAATTCAACTCAGAGATTATGTTCCCCTCTGGGTTTGCACATGTCTACATCATGAAATAATACTCAGCCTTTACAAAGAATGATACCTTGAAATGAATCTGGAGGACATTCAATTAATAAAATAAGACAAGCATAGTTCAACAAATATCGTGGGAACCAACAAAATTTATTTTTTATTCTATACTGGATAACGAAAGAAACATTCACATACCATGGACTGTATTTCTTTCATTCTTTTCTTTTTGTTTTTAACTATAGTTAATCCCGGAGAAGTTGTCCCTCATGTATGCAAAGCTGGAGAATTTCGCTGCAAGAACAGACACTGTATCCAAGCTCGGTGGAAATGTGATGGTGATGATGACTGCCTGGATGGAAGTGATGAGGATCCAGTACATTGCTGTACGTTTTCCAAGGAGTCTTACTCTGTGCCTTCCTCAGTCTTTCAGTGTATGGGTGATCAGAGAATTTCGGGAAAGATTTAAAATACCTTTGATGCAAAGAGAAAGCATTTTTTAAAACAGAAAGACCATATGACCTGCTTTACATAGGTTTAAAGCACATTTTCTCCTCTATCCACCCTTCACATCTTATTTCAGTTAGTCTCAAATCCTTCTTTTCTCATCTATGACAGTGCCAACACACTACTGTCTAAGGTTACACAAGGACTTGTTTTAGATTTTTGAATTTCAAATATGGAAAACTTGACTTAATTACCCTCAAGACTGAGGAATTTGTACAGAAAAATCACAATCTATTTCACTGCTCCTTGGCAACATAACTTTTTTTTGGCGGGGGGGACTCCAGTCGTGGGGCCTGAACTCTGGGCCTGGGTGCTGTCTCTTAGCTCTTCAGCTCAAGGCTAGCACTCTACCACTTGAGCCACAGAGCCACTTCTGGCTTTTTTCTTTTTGCTTATGTGGTGCTGAGAATCGAACCCAGGGCCTTATGTCTGCAAGGCGAGTGCTCTACCACTGAGTCACTTTCGCAGCCCTTGACAAGATAACTTTGAAGTTTCAAGAAAATAAACTAATTTTGGAAGATGTTATCATCTAGGTTTGCTGACACAGGAAATGTTGGAATACACATATGGGTACCAAGGTGAAAGTAATCAGATTTGGCTTTCTTCTCCTCTTAGCTTCTAGTTAGCCTCTTGTCATTTGCTAGAGTAGAAATAGTTTCATATTTTCAATAGGATTATGGAAATTTCTCATATATTTGGATGGAAAGCACTTTGAAAAGTTTGTAAAATCATCTTTAGAGACGGAAAGTAGTTAATGGTTTTGAGAGAAACCACTAGAGACAGGCCACAAGTTCAATATTTTTGAAAGAAAATAAAATACTATATGTGAAAAAAGGCATGTGTCAGATACAGGTTTTTTTGATTTTTGTATTTGACCTTGGGAGATGGTTTCAAAAGAGTGTTTTTTCAATTAATGAAGTTTTCAAATTAAAGTGTCTGTCTTGCATATTATCTATCTATCTATGTATCTATCTCCTTAACATCCATCATTATACATTATCCGCTATCATCTGTGCAATATTGTGCTTGAACTCAAGTCCTCATGCTTACTAGTCATTCTACCACTCGTGCCACACCACTAGCCTCCTGTGTGTGTGTGAGACAGAGACAGGGCAGAGACAGAGACAGACAGACAGACAGACAGACAGACAGACAGAAAATATTGGAGCTTGCACTCAGAGCCTGGGCACTGTCCCTTAGCTATTTTGCTCAAGGTTAGCATTCTACCACTTGAGATTCCATCTTTTGGTACTTAATTGACTGTGAGAGTCTCATGGACTTTCCTATGAAACCTTCACTGGCTTCAAACTATAATCCTCAGATCTCAGCCTTCTGAGTTGTTTGGATTCTAGCACATAATCATTTCATGTTTTGTTACTTTTCACTTAAGTCCCACATTTTTGCTGTTCTGAATTAGACCACAATCCTACTTCTCTTCTCATATAATTGGCAATATGGTAGCATACATGTTAAGCTTTTCTTGGTATTTTTGTTTAAATGAAGTCTTGCTAGCATTCTGTGCAGGCTCACCTCATTGATTCTCCAAATCTTGCCTCCTGGATAGTTGAGCTTACTGTGCCTAAACTTTATCAATAAAGCTTATTTGTTCTGCCTTCTAAGAAACTTTTGATCTTTATCTCTTCCTAGTTTTTATTGGCTAAATTAAAATCCATCTTAAATTAATTTAGCAATTCTTCTTCCATTATTCCTACCACTATCTCTTTTAAACATAAAGCTTACTCTCTACACTACTTCTAGAATAGTATTTGTACAATAAAATTACTAATTGCTTAACCAAGAAGTGGAATTCTAAATCTCTTGATGGATATATGTGATACTTCCTTTATGACTCAGACTAGAATTGTACATCTGCTTGCCCTTTTTTTTATTCTTACTAAGTTGAATTACATGTTATCTTCTAAAAATGCCCTACTACCTTTCTCCCCTATTAGACTATACTGAGTGATCCCAGTCTATGGCATTGTAAGTAGTTTCTCATTATTTTCTTAGAGACTTATTTTGGACCAACAAAACCTATTAGACAAAGGACAAGGGGGAATGAATGCAACAGCAATATACACAAGACAGTATATTGGAGATGATATGTACAACTTATGATGGATAGGGAGAGGAAAATTAGGAGAAAAATGAGAGAAGGGGTAACACATTTGATAAGAAATGTACTTATTGCCTCTGTTCATCACCTTGACAACAACAACAACAAACTCAGTACAGTCTAGTCAGAGTTTAATATTCATCTCCTGTCTACACATTTATCATTAGTGTCTGCCACACTATATTGCAATTGCATTCTTATTTATTTAACACACTTGATAACAGACTAGTATCTTCATGAAAATCATTGTTGGATTGCAGCCTGTTTGAATCCTCAATATCTAATAGAGATTCTAAACAATGACTGAATAAATAAGTGAATGGGTAGCAAAACATCTCCAGTTGCTTGGAAGTACAATGTCTTCTCTGAGTAAAACAGACATTCTAAGCAATACTATATTTTAAGGTTTCTATTCAAATACCTCATAAGCAATGTAAGATGATTGTTTTAGAATTTAAAGTCATAATCTTTAAAGTAAAATTTTGTTGTCATTCTAATTTATATCCTTCAACATCTCAATTTCAAACCATTTAATTATCTATGAATAATGATTTACCTTACTAATGATAATTGCAAAGCTTTGCTGAGATGATGTGAACAATCTTGGTACTTTAAAATGCAGACCTTCTGATATGTTAGGGGATTTTATTTTTTATGTGCAGTTATTCCCTTAAATATTAAATGCTTCAATGCCAGAGTATGTGTATTTACTCTTTTTAAAATTTTTCACTTTACATAAACAACTTTTGAAAAATATTAAAACTACGTAATTCCCAAAAGTACTTTTAAAAAGAGCACGGTATAGGAAATGAAAGAAAATACACTCATTATCTGCGCATTGTGATAAAAGTTAAACTTACTCAAATTCTCAATTAAACTAATACCAAAATTACTTTTTAACTATACAAAAGGACAACTAATAAGTGATGGAAAAAAACAAATAAACAAAAAGGGTAACTATTAGCCAAAAGGAAAATCAGTTTAGGAAGAATGAAACAGGCCTCTAGCACCCTGGAAATAAACTTTTTTTCTTTTTTTCATCATTTTTTTTATTAATAAGTTTTCTTTATTGTGAAAATAATGTACAGAGGGGTTATAATTACACGTACAGTTTTAGAAGGCTAATGTAAAAACAATGCTACTGTGCTTGGCTATTAGAAGTTTAATCTTTAGTTGTGCAGTTTTCCATTTAGGGATTGTGCTCATCTTACATATTTGTTTTTGTAGTTACATGTTTATTCATTTTATTGAAGGGGAAAATAAAAAAACAAAACTCATGATTACCTTTTATTCTTTTTTGATTTTTTTTTTTTGGTCAGTCGTGGGGCTTGAACTCTGGGCTTGGGTGCTGTCCCTGTGTTCTTCAGCTCAAGGCGAGTGCTCTACTGCTTGGGCTTCAGCTCCATTTCTGTTTTTGTTGTTTTTTGTTTGTTTGTTTTTTGTTTTGTCAGTCACAAGGCTTGAACTCGAGGCCTGGGTGCTGTCCCAGAGATTTTTTAATCAAACCAAGGAAGTGTTCTACCACTTTCAGGCATAACTCTGTTCCCAATTTTCTGGTGGTTTATTGGAGATAAAGAGTCTCATAGATTTTGCTGCATGAGCTGGCTTTGAAACCAGATTCCCAGGTCTCAACTTCCTGAACCAGTTATAATTATAGGTGTGAGCCACTGGTGCCTGGCTCTGATTACTCTTTTTGCTATTAAAGTTATGTAGAGCCTCATTGTTAGCATCAGCGCTAGGTAACAAGGCACTCACTCACACACACACAAACACACACACACACACACACACACACACACACACACACACCTGTAGATCTATAGATACAGATATATCTGTATATTTCCTTCCAGTTCTAAGAAATACTGGGTGAAGCTGACTGGTATTAGACTTATAAGAAATATTTGAGTGGATTCATAGCTTTAAGGAAGAGTATTTTTAATCTACGTGACTAAATTGTTCAAAGACATACATATCATGTTTATATACTAGAGCGGGAGGTTAATTTTAAATCATTAATAAAACTTTTGCAACAGGATCATTTATCCTGATAAGCGATTAGAAAACAAACTCGTGACATAGTTTGAGTAGACACATGACAGATGAATACATTTTCTTCTGTTAAAAGTTTAATTACATAATGTCTTCTGTAAAATTGTCACATTTTAGCAAAGTTTCAAATATTGATATTTGCTATACAATTTGATATGATCAATGACAGAAGCTATGGCATTTATTGTACTATATATATATATATATTTTTTTTTTTTGTCAGCCATGGGGCTTGAACTCTGGGCCTGGGCACTGCCCCTGACATCTTCAGCTCAAGGCTAGTGCTTTACCACTTGAGCCACAGTGCCACTTCGGGTTTCCTGAGTGATTTTCTGGAGAAAAGTGTCTCATAGACTTTCCTGCCTGGGCTGGCTTTGAACCTTGATCCTCAGATCTCAGCCTCCTCAGTAGCTAGGATTACAGGCATGAGCCACCAGAGCCCAGTTTATTATAATTCCTAGAACAGTTTTATGGCTGTAATTCAAAACAAATATAAGTTTATGCAATTTCAATAATAAACCTGTCTTCTTCTTCCCTCCCAGTCAATCACAGCTGTCCCGATGACCAGTTTAAATGCCAGAACAATCGCTGCATCCCCAAAAGATGGCTGTGTGATGGAGCTAATGACTGTGGCACCAATGAGGATGAATCCAACGAAACTTGTGCAGGTAAAGGTTTGCTCAGGAAATATTCATAAATCACCTTCATACAAAATGTAGTCTCCATAAAAATGCATGTCAGTGCTTTGAGCTAAGCTGAACTTTTCAAGTACAGATTATCTGATTATTGTAGTGACAAATGAGTTCAGAATTTAATGCCACAAAAACCAGATACAAGTAATCTTTCATATCATCTTTGATCATAAATTTGCTTTCCAAAGCCTTTTCATATTCCATCTCTCCATATGTGTTGACTGTTGATACACTTCTTGTACAAGACATGTCCCTCTTAAATCTTATTTGACTGTGTTTGTTGCAGTATTAGCATACTGTGATATGGGCCATGTCACAGAGAACATTGTTTTTTGCTTTTTAACTTTAAAAATATGTAAAGATAAGATTTGCTTACAATGGAATAGCTTTGAAAATAGGTTTCTGTTTTGGGCATATAATTTATGTGAAGTAACATTTTTTTAAAAATCTCACATGAAGTCCCAAGACCACTAATCCTTTTTATATTTCCATATAATCTATTCCATTGTAATAAATCTTTGAATCCCCAGCCAGGTTTTCATCGAATGAAAATATACAGCTGGTAGTATAGGTTACAATAGAACTCTAGAAAGGTCATTATTAGTCAGATAAACATTGAAAAATGACAATAGCTTGCAGATGTCTGTGCTTTTCTTTACATGATAAAGAAAAACTAGTGTGTTTGATGACACATAATGATATGATTAGTATAAACAAGTTTTAGAAGAATGGAATATAAGCCAACATCAAACATATCTGCCACATAACATCTCTTTCTCTTTTGGACAAAGAAAGGCTTACTAAATACAAATTATTATGAAGTCTTAGTGAAAACAATAGGACAATGTTTTCAGAAAGGATTGACAGGTTGAGATTTCTTTCTCTTCTTGTTTTGATACTGCATTTCTTTAGGCAGTCTTTTATCCCTCAGCATCTCCCTTTAGTCACACGTTTTGTTCACTATTACAAGTGTATTAATTAGTGACATTTTTCCAATTAGTTTTTCACTTTGTACAAAGCAACATTGGAAAGAGCAAAATATATTTGCTGAGGATTCATGGACCAGTTATTCTTGTCTCTTGAATTAAAATCTCCTTTGACACTTAGAAATAACTGAATTAAAAATTGTGTTCATATCTTACATGATACTTTTTTTTTTTTTTGAGTCCGGTTGTGGGACCTGAACTCTGGGCCTGGGCACTGTCCCTCAGCTCTTCAACTTAAGGCTAGTGCTCTACCACTTGAGCCACAGCGCCACTTCCGGCTTTTTTCTTTTTGCTTATGTGGTGCTAAGGAATCGAACCCAGGGCCTCAGGCATGCAAGGCAAGCGCTCTACCACTGAGCCACCTTCCCAGCCACACACGATACTTTTTTATTGGGAAAATACTGTACAGATGGGTTACAATTACATGGGCAAGGTAATGAGTACATTTCTTATCAAGCCTTGTTGCCTCCTCTTTTGCTTTGTCTTCCCTTCCCTTCCCATCTCTGCACCCCCTCCACACCCTCCACCCCACCAAAGTTGTAAAGTTTGTTTTTCGACATAACGACTTGTAAATCTCATTGGTGCAAAGGGCCCACCTGTATCCCTATTTAAACATTTTTTTCCCTTCCCCTCCACAAAGAATACCAATATCAAATACAGTGAAAACGGGTTATACCATGTGGGAGGGACATACAAAACAACAAAGAAATCATCTTATAAATATGTTAGAAAAAATTGTAAGAAAGAAAAAAACACATTTGAGTCTTTATCTTGGAGTTCAGTTAGCCTAACATCAACTTATCTGACCATTTCTGCTTGTCTCAGGCATATACTAGTAATTGCAAACAAGGGAAACCATGGGACCTATGTTTCTTTGACCCTAGGTTACTTTAATTAATATAATATTTTCCAAGTCTTTCCATTTCCTAACAAATGGGGCAATGTCATTCTTTCAGATAGAGTCATAGAATTCCATTGTGTATATATACCACATTTTTTGGTCCATTGTGTATATATACCACATTTTTTGATCCATTCATCTACTCTTTGGCACAGGCCAACATTTTCTTTTTTTT